GAGGGGACCCACGCCGCCACCCTGGCGGCCTGCGCCTCCCTGCTGGCCCTCGTCTTCTGCCTGGGCTCCTACGGCAACCTCATCGTCCTCCTGTCCTTCTTCGACCCGGCCCTCAGGAAATTCAGGACCAACTTCGACTTCATGATCCTCAACCTCTCCTTCTGCGACCTCTTCATCTGCGGGGTGGCCGCCCCCATGTTCGCCTTCGTCCTCTTCTTCGACTCGGCCCGAGGCGTCCCGGGCGCCTTTTGCTTCACCTTCCACCTCACCAGCTCCGGCTTCATCATCATGTCGCTCAAGACGGTAGCGGTCATCGCCCTGCACCGGCTGCGCATGGTGCTGGGGAAGCAGCCGCACCACGCCGCCTCCTTCCCCTGCACCCTCCTCCTCACCCTGCTCTTGTGGGCCACCAGCTTCACCCTGGCCACCCTAGCCACCCTGAAAACCCGCGGCTCCCGCCTCTCCCTGCCCATGTCCAGCTTCGCCAGCGGCGAGGGGAAGATCATCCTCTACCTCTATGTCACTGACTTCATCTGCTGCGTGGCTGTGGTGTCTGTCTCCTACGTCATGATCGCCCAGGCCCTGCGGAGGAACGCCCAGGTGAGGAAGTGCCCACCCGTGGTGGCTGTGGATGCCTCCAGACCGCAGCCCTTTGTGGGGCCACCGGCCACCGGGGCTGGCATGCAGAGCGCTGTGCCTGCCTTGTACAGGAACCAGAGCTACAGCAAGCCGCAGCACGTCCAGACGCACAGCTACGCCAAGCACCTTGGCCAGCCACTGGCCCCCGCTGCCGGCCGGCTCCAGCTGGTGCCAGCGGTCAACCTGTCCACGGCCAAAGACTCCAGGGCGGTAGTGACGTGTGTTGTCATCGTCCTCTCCGTCTTGGTTTGCTGCCTGCCCTTGGGTATCTCTTTGGTGCAGGACATGCTGTCCAGCAGCGGTGGCTTTGTTCTCTACCAGTTCGAGCTGTGTGGATTTACCCTAATTTTTTTCAAATCTGGATTAAATCCTTTTATATATTCCCGTAACAGTGCTGGACTTCGGAGACGAGTCCTCTGGTGCCTGCAGTACGTAGCCCTTGTCTTTTTCTGCTGCAAGCAGAAGACGAGGCTTCGGGCCATGGGCAAAGGCAGCCTGGAAGTCAACAGGAACAAGTCGTCCCACCATGAGACCAATTCAGCATACATGTTGTCTCCAAAACCTCAGAAAAAGCTTGTGGACCAAGCCTGTGGTCCTAGTCACTCCAAGGAAAGCGTGCTGAGCCCTAAGGCTTCTGTCGGGCATCAGCACTATGCACAGAGCAGCTCAACCCCCATGAACACCCGAATCGAGCCCTATTACAGTATCTATAACAGCAGCCCTTCCCAGGAAGTGAGCACCCCGAATAGCTTGCAGCCGGTGAACTCAGCTTTCGGATTTGCCAAATCCTACATTGCCATGCATTATCACACCACCAATGACTTGGTGCGAGACTATGACAGTGCTTCAACTAAGCAGATACCAGTGCCCTCGGTGTAACCTTAGGAAAGGGTTCTGATCTAGCTGATCCAGTGGGTCCTCTTCTTTGCTTTTGTTAACGATCATTCTGAACTCAATGATGCTGTACAGCTGCCAATTAAGAAAAATGCCACTAATGTTAGTATCCAGCTATTTGCATTTGAAGTGAATACTAGGATATTACTTCCGTGAAGCTTTCTTGAATTTCTGCGGCAAGTCAAGAAGGGCAGTATTTTAGATTTGTGTTTGGAATTGTTACTAAATTTTACTACTGGACACGTAAAAAAAGAAAAAAAAGTAAGCGTTTTAACTATACAAGTGGTTATGTCATGAGGCAGAATTTCTCAGAGAACAATCTGAGGCTGTGCCATAAGTATTGCCTGTTAAATTGCGTGCTTGCCATATTTTCAAGAAGGAAGAATTGGGATGATGCTTGGTAATATGGTACTTAAATTTAAACTTCCCATTGCAGAAGGTTGAAAGAACTGATGGTGGTTTGTTGTAGCAAGTGTCAGTAATAATAAAGGTCCTCTCTATTCATGGGGTGAAATCCTGGTTTCGTTGAGGTAAACAGCAAAACTTCCATGAATTTCAACTTAAGTTTAGGATTTTGGTCTCAGTTTCCTAAAGCAGGACAAAGCATTTTAGAAACAGTGTTATATCGCCACTAGGGAAGGACTTCTGAGAAGTGTTTTTGGCACTGTAGTAAACCTGTGAAGTATGTGTATATTAATTTCCACTGCACATTTATTTTAAGCATTGGTGGTGTTAAGTATCCAAAAATAATATAATTGGAGAAGTGTTTTACATCTGATAGAAATAACTGTGCAGTACCTAATTATAGGTTTTACTTGACGATAAAGATGAATATTGCAATATTATAGTACTGATACACTATCAGTAATGCAGTCACCTCTGGAATTTTCTAATTCATAAACTGTTACACAAAGAGTAGTGTTGCTGGTTGCTTTATTGTCTATGACTTTGTATAAAAGTGGGAATTGGTGGGATTCAGCTGTGATACTCCTGACAGGTAGAACTGACAGCTATTAATGTTTTTAAAAACAGAATGATTACATAATAAGGTGACCACGAATTTTTGAGGTTTTCTTAAGAAGTCTAACATCAGTTTGATTTGAAGATTAATAATCTGTGTACTTATAAACTTTATCTGTTGGACTACACAGTGAGCAAATGAACAGAAGTTAAATACTTTTTTTATAAACCTGACCATTAGTGTTGTGTCATGTGTTGTGGGAATTCCTTATGAAACGGAATGATTTGGAGGCATTTAAATTCCTGACAATTATTGCTTTAAGTAGCCAGATCTTTTCGAAACAAGTAGTCACCTTTGAACTTCTATGGAATTCAGCAGAGCCTTAGTATCTCTGAAATAATTGTGCCATAGGCTTTTGGTGCCTCGTTATAGGAAAATGCTACATCTTTAGCAAAATTACAGTGATGGAAAGATGATTTGTTAATTTAGAAACAAAAAACATTCACATCGTTGTCGTGTGAGTTGTTGTTTGTTTGGGTTATTTGTTAACTATTTTCAAGATTTTCCTGGAAGACTATTACATTATGAACACTGTTCTTTGTTTAACACCCTGAATTTTAATTAATTTTGAATAATTCAAGACAGCTTTCTTGCAATAAAATGGATGTGAACAACTTTCTAATACAAATGTGAAATTGAAATTATTTCCGTAAGTCTTTTCTCGCTGCCCGGATATTTTTCTCTATAAACAAATAATATGGTTCTTTCTAACGTAATTATAAAAGATAACTAAAAGATCTGTCTTGTTTGGTTTTTCTGTCTTTGCATTTCTCTTTGGTACAAAGCATACGAATTTGGAGGGGAAAAAAATACATGGGATCCTGTCCTTTTTTCTCAAACTATACATTCTTGGCAGCAATTACAGTGTCAGATTGGAAGGACTATAGGACAGGACCCCAAAAGTGGTTGCAAGATGGGGTCCTGTGTGTACTTTGAGGGAGCTGAAGATATGCATTAAGACCGCTTTTAACATTAA